TTCACCACCACCCAGAAGACGCTCCGCATTGGTCATCCGGGTCCTCTCTGTGGTCCTCCATGGCCTGATCCCCACCTACTCTTCCAAAAGACTCAAATGAACACTTGGGTTCTGCTGAGGGGAGTGGGGCGGGGGAGGGAATGAGGAGAAGGCGCCCCGAGTCTGCAAACAGACAGGACCAGTGGAGCAGTGACTCCAACCACCCCCGGGGTCCCGCACAGACACGGTGTGAGCGGCAGACTGTACTTTCTGGAGATGACTGCCACACTCCCTCCACCCCCAGGTTTCTCAAAAAATGTACCTCTAATCCTCCCAGGAAGGTTGGGGTCCACGATCCCTCCCCGGGATCAGAGCAGACGTGTGATTGTGGCACACATGATGCTGTACAAGGTCTGAGGCAGAGGCATGAAAAGCAGTACAATTTTCGGCCTTCTTCACTGGAGCCCTGAGCCACCATGTAAGCCACTTGCCTCCCCTGGGCCACCACACTGTGAGGAATCCCAGGATAGCCCATGTGGAGACATCACACAAAGAGACCCTGAGATAACATGAAGAGAGAATTTCCAAGACTGTAAATCTTGACAGGAGCAGACAGCCTCATATTTCCCCTGTGGATCAGCTAGTGACTTCGAACTGCTGACCTTGTGTTTAGGAAACCAACATATAACCACAGCGCTACCAGGGTTCCTTTGGCTGGGCATTCAGAGGATGAAAAGCAATGCCCTTGGATGTGATTCATCAAATCCTGCTCTTGGTGTAGTTCTGCCATATGGCCAGCAGGTGGAAGCAAAGACCGCCCTTTCGCTAGCTCGGGTGCCCTCGCACTGTTGTGGTTGTCTCCATGGATAGACTCTGGTTGTCTAGGACCCAGAGCTAAACTCGCAGCCCCAGGGCCCTGAACGACAACCTGCAACGTCTGAACATTTCCCAGGCCCGAAAAGCGGAGCAGCTGTGGGCACCAACCCCACTGCAGCCACGGAATCCCGGCAGCTCTCGTGTGGGTCCGAGTTTAGCCCTTTCTCTCCACCGCCCCTGGGAGGCTGACTGCACCTGCCCGGCCTGTGGTGTTGGTCTGTGCCCTATATCTCTTCTCCGGGGCTACATACCCGTCCACCTCATGGCAGAGTGACTGGCAGACCCAGCAGAGTGAACTGTGGGGTGCACAGTACTCGTTCCAGGGGTGTTAGCGTGATGATGAGGTCACAGGGGGGAATAATGTATCATCTGATGACC